AAAAGCCAGACTGCTTTATTGAACAAATAAGCAAAAAGATACAAGGACTGCACAAAATCAAAAGCATTCCCCTCCCCAATTATTTTTGAAGTGAACACAGCCTTAAAAATAATTCTTTCTTAGCCTGAAGTTTTGCCAAGTTTTATCTGCCCTGACTGGCAGATCCCCAATGTCACAGATGGAAGTTTTTCAGATCATCTGCTACCTTATTTATTTTTAAACTAGAGATTCTGGGAGTTTCCTTCTGGAATTATGCTTATGCCAAGCAGGTGCTTTGAGCTGTTGCCATCTGCAACACAATTTGAAGACTGAAACCTGATAGATAATATCCTGATATGCATAAATTGGCAGGACAAACCTAGGAATGGTTATATACATTATTTGCATAGAACTGCTCAGACTACTTACAGAAAACACCCACGCTGCCAAATAAAACAGCAGGATATAAAATTAAAATTTGTTTCCTGTATAAGGGGACTTCTGTCTTCCATAATATAAATGTAAATCTATGTAAATTTTATGTTGAGAATTTGGGAATGGAATTAAAAATATATCCAGGACACATCACCCTAACACACACATATACCGATGAAAATTATTCTATCAGAAAAAGATTAAAAATGGCAAGGACCTCAATACATGCAATCCGCAACTTACAACAGTTCATTTAGTGACTGTTGGAAGTTACAGTGGCACTGAAAAAAGCAACTTATGACCATTTTTCACATTTATGACCATTGCAGCATCCCCATGGTCAGGGGATTTACATTTGGACACTTGATAAATGGTTCATATTAATGATGGTTGCAGTGTCCCAGGGTCATGTGATCATCTTTTGCGATGTTCTGACAAACAAAAGTCAATGGGAAAGCCAGCTTCACTTAGCAACTGTGTGACTAACTTAACAACTGCAGTGATTTGCACAACAAATGTGGCAAGAAAGTTCATAAAATGAACCAAATTCACTCAAGAAATTTCGTTCTTAGCAACATAAAAACATGTCAGCTTAGCATGCAGCGATATAAATAAAAAAGGCAGAAGGCAGAAAAAAAAACCCAAAATAAAAATATGAGAGTGGTTTGATTGATAAAAATTATCCAGGACCAGAGGTATCTGCAGGGTATAGTCCAAAAAGTCAAGATGATGGCTACAGTGGTACAATCAAAGCACTCCCAATTTTGTATATGTGTTACACCGCATCACAGCCACCATTTTGACTTTTTTGACCTCACCCTGCAGAAAACTCCAAAACTCTCTTAGCAGGCACTTATTTTGGCATCTTCCAAAAAATATGATACTAAAACTTTATTTTAAGCAGTTCAAAGCACCTTCCTGAATTTTAACTCTGTATGTTTGCTTACATTGATGAACTACTTTGTAAGTAACATTGTATATTCTCCCTTCTGTCAATCTCAATCTCTGGTGATTTCATGAACATCCTCATAATTTTCTTGGCAATAATAAGTGATTTACTATTTCCTTATTCCAGGACCTTTTTTCAACTTTCCAATCTCACCTACCTGGAATTTCCTGGTGGTCTCCAATCCAAATAGGTGTCAAACTGCCGGCCCATGGGTGGTTGCATCATACGGAGGCCGCATCCACCCCAGCTCCGGCACTGCAAAAAAAGTTGTGATACGCCATGTGACACAGCAAGTTTGACACCCCTGCCAGAGACAGTGCCACTTTAACTTCAAATAGTCACTAAACAAATGGCAGTAAGTGAAAGACTACCTTTAACGAAATAGATGATAGAAAGCCAGCTCTTGGTCCCTTTCCTGGAGTTTTCCTAGTAATGCTAAAGAAGTGATTTCCCATTCTGAATAATCTCTTTTAATCTTTCCCAGCCTCCATGGGATTTCCCCGTGGTCTCCTGTTCAAGTACAAAGTAGATCAGATTCTTCTAGAGATCAACCAACTCTGTGCCAAATGTCGCAAGGCATGATTAAAAATGGATGGAAATTCTTTGAAGGAATGTTGCAGCCTGAACATCAAGTCTATATTTATCTCTTTAGGACAAACTTCCAGAAACTGCAATAACTCGTGCAATAACTCGTGTAACTGGTTTGTACAGTGTGAACGATGCGCTCCTGTTCACATGTTCTACATTCTGGTCATCTTAAAATACAGGCAGTCCTTGACTTACAACAGTTCATTTAGTGACCGTTCAAAGTTACAACGGCATCAAAAAAAGTGACTTATGACTGTGTTTCACACTTATGACCATTGCAGCATCCCCATGGTCAGGTGATCAAAATCCAGATACTTGGCAGCTGATTCATATTTAGGATGGGTGCAGAGTCCCAGGTGATTAATCAATCACCTTTTATGACTTTCTGACAAGCAAAGTCAATGGGGGAGCCAGATTCACTTAACAACCGTGTTACTAACTTAACAACTGCAGTGGTTCACTTAACAACTGTAGCAAGAAAGGTTGCAAAATGGGCCAAAATTGACTTAATTTTCCCAAGAACAGAAATTTTGGTCTCAGTTGTGGTGGTAAGCCAAAGACCACCTGTAGTGGAAACCCAAAACCCAAAGGTGCTTTTTTCAGAAGGCAATTGCACTTTCTTGTTTGTTTTGAAGATATTTTGCTTCTTACCCAAGAACCTTTTTCAGCCAGGGGTTTTAAAAACTCGGCCCTTTTATGACTCGTGGACTTCAACTCCCAGAATTCCTCAGCCAGTGTGCCTGGCTGAGGAATTCTGGGAGTTGAAATCCACGAGTTATAAAAGGGCCGAGTTTTAAGACCCCTGAGCTAGATGGCGGGGAGTGGAAGGATTTATATTGCTTGCAGACAGCTGGTCATTTGTATTCCTTGTTGTTGTTGTTGTTACTTGCGAAGTCGTGTCCGACCCATCGCGACCCCATGGACAACGTTCCTCCAGGTCTTCCTGTCCTCTACCATCTTCTGGAGTCCATTCAAATTCACACCTACTGCTTCAGTGACTCCATCCAGCCATCTCATTCTCTGTCGTCCCCTTCTTCTATTGCCCTCAATCTTTCCCAGCAGTAGGCTCTTCTCCAGTGAATCCTTCCTTCTCATTAGGTGGCCAAAGTACTTGAGTTTCAACTTCAGGATCTGGCCTTCTAAAGAGCAGTCGGGGTTGATCTCTTCTAGGACTGACCGGTTTGAACGCCTTGCCGTCCAAGGGACTCGCAGGAGTCTTCTCCAGCACCATAGTTCAAAGGCCTCAATTCTTTGGCGCTCAGCCTTTCTTATGGTCCAGCTTTCACAGCCATACATTGCAACTGGGAAAACCATGGCCTGGACTATATGCACTTTTGTTGGCAGGGTGATGTCTCTGCTTTTTAGAATGCTGTCTAGATTTGCCATAGCTTTCCTCCCAGGAGCAAGCGTCTTTTAATTTCTTGGCTGCAGTCCCCATCTGAGGTGATCTTGGAGCCCAGAAAATTAAAATCTGTCACTACCTCCATTTCTTCCCCATCTATTTGCCAGGAATTGAGAGGGCCGGATGCCATGCTTTTGGTTTTCTTAATGTTGAGTTTCAAGCCAACTTTTGCACTCTCCTTCTTCACCCGCATCAAGAGGCTCTTTAGTTCCTCTTCACTTTCTGCCATTAGAGTGGTATCATCTGCATATCTTAGGTTGTTGATATTTCTTCCGGCAATCTTAATTCCAACTTTTGATTCATCTAGCCCTGCCTTTCTCATGATGTGCTATGCATATAAGTTAAATAGGCAGGGCGACAGTATACAGCCTTGCCGGACTCCTTTTCCAATTTTGAACCAATCAGTGGTTCCGTGTTCGGTTCTCACTGTTGCTTCTTGACCCGCATATAGGTTTCTCAAGAGACAAATAAGATGGTCTGGTATTCCCATCGCTTTAAGAACTTGCCACAATTTGTTGTGATCCACACAATCAAAGGCTTTAGCATAGTCAATGAAGCAGAAGTAGATGTTTTTCTGGAACTCCCTAGCTTTCTCCATGATCCAGAGTATGTTGGCAATTTGATCTCTAGTTCCTCTGCCTCTTCGAAATCCTGCCTGTACTTCTGGTAGTTCTCGATCCACATACTGCTGGAGTCTAGCTTGTAGGATTTTAAGCATAACTTTACTAGCATGTGCAATGAGTGCAATGGTGCAATAGTTTGAACATTCTTTGGCATTGCCTTTCTTTGGAATTGGAATGTAAACTGACCTTTTCCAATCCTGTGGCCACTGTTGAGTTTTCCAAATTTGCTGGAAAATTGAGTGTAGCACTTTTACTGCATCGTCTTTTAAGATTTTGAATAGCTCAGCTGGAATACTGTCACCTCCACTAGCTTTATTGTTGCTCAGATTTTCTAAGGCCCATTTCACTTCACATTCTAAGATGTCTGGTTCGAGGTCAATGACCATCTCACTGTGGTTATCTGGGATGTTAAGCTCATTCTTGTATAGTTCTTCTGTGTAGTTTTGCCATCTCTTCTTAATCTCTAAGGAATCTCTATTCCTTAGAGTCGGTGAAACCATTTTGGAGGTTTACCTGTGTCCCCAGGGTCACCTGAGAAGTGCAAATGTGTGTGTGGAGCCACCTTGGCTGCAGATGTGTGCGGGTAGGGTAGGCAACTGGCAGTGGAAAAGGCAGTGGAAAAGTCACCAAAAGCACCCACCGAAGGGAACGGCCCACGAGAGGTTTCCCTCCCGCTCCCACCCCTCTGGAATGCCAATGACGTCATCGTCCACGAAAGAACAGTCGGCGGCGGGAGAGGGCAGGGGAAAGACCGGCCAGCAAAAAAAAAAAAAAAACTGCAGAGCTCCTCTGCTGATTGCGTCACCGCCTTCTTCCTTGTGACGCAGCACCGCGGGACGCGGCGAGGAAGGGGCGGGGCGAGCAGGACAAGGATGACCGCATGTCACGTGCAGGGGCGTCGGGGGGGGGTGTGCGGCCCCGCCAACACCCCTTTCTTCCTGCAAGGTGGAGCGCGTCACGTGGCCTAGCGGGGGGGGAAAGAAAAAAGAAAAGAAAAGAAAAGAGAGCCGGGCCGAGGGAGGCCCCGTTTAAAAGGGATGGTGGCGGTCACGTGATCCGGGCGTCCCGGAAAGACCTCGGCGGCGGCTTCTTCGGCGGCCATTTCCCCGCGTGTGGGTGAAGGCGACGCCCACTCCGGCGGGCGGGCGGGAGCGGAGGCGGCGGCCTTCTCCCGGGTGACAGGCCCGGCCCTTCCGGAGGGCGGAGCGCGTAGCTGGGCGTCTAGGCTAGGTGGCGGCGTTGGGGCCGGCCGGGGCTGGCAGCCCGCCCTCCTCCTCCTCCTCCCTCTTTCCCATCCCCGCTTCCCCGCCAGGAACAGCCGCGTCCGCGCAGGGAGCTGGGCAACCATGTCGGGGCAGAGCCTGACCGACCGCATCACGGCGGCGCAGCACAGCGTGACGGGCTCGGCCGTCTCCAAGACCGTCTGCAAGGCCACCACGCACGAGGTGATGGGCCCCAAGAAGAAGCACCTCGACTGTGAGTCCGCCGCCTCTTCCTCCAACCTCCTCCTCCTCCCGGGGCTGCCCTTTCCAGCCTCGGGGGGCTCTTCTCCCCCTCCGCCTCCCCTTGCTTGGGGGAAGGGGCCGCCGCCGCCGCTGGTGTCCCTTTCGGGGCGGTGGAGCCTCCCCGGCCCCTCTTCCCCTCGGGGCTCCTCCGGCGCGCCCTCGTCGTGGAGGAGGGAGGCAAACTTTCTTTGGACCCGCTGGCAGCTCTGCCAAGCCCTGGGATTTCTTTTCCTCCTTCCTATCCTCCTTTTTTTGTTTTTGTTTTGTTTTGTTTTACAACTCTTGGGAAGAAATTTGCCTAGGAAAACCGCCTTATTGGACTGGCCGCAAAGAAAGGCGTCCCCGAAGCTTTTTTTTTTTTTGCCCCTCAGCCTTCGTCCTTCACTAGGCATCGTTTGCAAAATTAAAAACAAAAACAAAAAAAACACCTTAAAACAATTCAGCACCATTAGTCTGATTTAGTCCCTCTGATGCCACGCTCTTCCTTGGGCTTTCTGCGGTTTTTTTTTTTTCTTCCCTTCGCTGCTTGACAGGCTGCCTTTTAATTTTGGCTTCTAAATGAATTTTTTCCCCTGTGCTTTTTCCCCTCCCTCCTTCCTCCCTCCCTAATGTCTTAAATCTGCATTTTTGTGGCAGCTTCTGCCCGGAGTTGTTTGTAACTTAATCCTGCCACCATCTCTCAGTTTTATGGGATGAAGAAGTTTCACCTCCTTCCAACTGTTTGGTGCTTTGACTAGGTAGACAGGTAGTCCTTGACTTACAACAGTTTGTTTAGTGACCGTTTGAAGTTACAAGGGCACTGAAAGAAGTGGCTTATAACCGGTTTTCACACTTACGACCACTGTAGCCATCCCCACGATCACGTGATCAAAACTCAGATGCTTGGCAACTGACTCATATTTCTGACGGTTGCAGTGTCCCTGTGTCATGTGATCACCTTTGGCAACCTTCTGACAAGCAGAGTCAAATGGGGAAGCCAGATTCGCTTAACAACCCTGTTGCTGATTTAACTGCAGAAATTCACTTAAGAACTGCAGCAAGAAAGGTCGTAAAACGGGGCAAAGTTCACTTAACCAATGTCTCACTTAACAGAAATTTTGGACTCAGTTGAGGTTGTAAGTCGAAGATTACAGAGTTGCCTGACGGTGAGGTGGGTGGCATATAAATTTAATAAATACTGTGGTTTAACTATTCTTCCCCTCCCTTCCCCAATTTTAGTTTAGTCTTGGCTATTCAGGAAAGTTGAGAGGTTGAAATCACTTTTCTGGTTTTGCCCTGGTCCTGCCTTCAGCACAATGGAGACAAATTTGAATTAGGTGTCTCTACTTGCAAAGGCAGTATAAATGATAATTTAAAAGATTAAGCAGTTGTTTAGAAAGCCAACACTAGTACTACTTCACTTATCAGCAAGGCTTTTGCCTTCCTTTGAATTGAATATTGAGTAGTTTTTAATGAAGTCATGTGGGGGGGATCATATGATCTACATATTGGGTATCCATTAACACAAGAGGGAAGATGTTTGACATAGGATTATCCTTGCTGTTACCTATATTACCCCTAAAGAGTTTTAATGCAAAAATGTCTTTGTTTCTCTTTTCATGCCATTTCATAATATAAGATGCATTGCAACATTAGGATAATTTCATTTACTACTCTCTCAAATTAACAAGTGAAGCTAGTTAACTTTAAGGGCTTCTTCCTGTTAATATGTAGGATCAGTCTCCAATTAAAGGGTTACATATGACAGGGAAAGCTAGCGTTTGGTAAAACCACATTTTATTGATTGGCTTTTCTGGCTTAAAATTGGGGCTATAGCTATTCCAAACCTATGTGAAATTGCCTCGTGGTGTTGTATAAAGTAGATCTTTGCATTCTGAGAACTTAATTGCAATTCAGAACCATCTCTCCAGCATTTTTGCACAACTTACAGTCTAGATCAAACTTGAAATCTGATTTCATGTGATTAACTTTCCACAGATTCTATGCTTGTAAGGTCTCTGTTTTGCATTTATAGATCATTGACCCCAAACATGCTATTTCCTTCACTTTCTTTTGATTCCTTGTTCCTAAGAAAATATCTGAAAAATGAGGAGAATTTCTGGCAAATAAAATATTTTGGCCTATGTTTCAGGGTTCTTTAAATGTTTATTACCGTAGATATTATAATTGCAAGTAACTGCTTTTAGGCTGGCTTAAAGCAGTGTTTCTCAATCTCAGCAACTTCAACTTCCAGAATTCCTTAGCCAGCAAGGCTGACTGAGGAATTCTGGGAGTGGAAGTGTGCACATCTTTTTGCTGAGGTTGAAAAACACTGATTTAGAGAATTCTTGGAAAAGTCTCTTACTAATGTGTACTTTTGTTTGAGGCTTGAGAATCTCAGTTTTATGTGCATTTGGACACTAGGCACATTTTTCTGAAAAGCATTCTTCTCAATACATACCTGCGTTGAATATAGTTCTTTAGTCAAAAAGAGAGGTGAGGTTTGTTTTCTTTACTACCATCATTATTTTGAACCATAATTTAAAGCTTTTTGTATTGAGAAGAATACATTGATTGCTCTCTTCAGGATTCAGTGGTAGGAAGCTGAGCCTAATGTTTTGTGTTTGACAATTCATTAAGGTAGCAAAGAAGAAAATTTGTGCTCTAACTAGCAATAATGAAAGCAATAACTTTAGATCTTACATGCCACACTATTTATGAGGAAGGCTAGATGCACATGGTCTTATAACCCTATCAGCTAACTCAGATTGGCAAGCAAGTTAGTAGAAGAAAGCATATAATTTGGACTATTGGAGTATTGAAAAGCTTTTTGTACCATTTATTCAAGATGCAGTTGCATTTGTTTTCTGAATGCTGATCTGGATTTCTTGTTTTTAATCTGCCAAGTGGTTCTGTTCTTGAGAAATAGTTCAGAATACTTAGCCTCTTAATCCCCATTCAAACTGCTCCTTTTCCCCACCTATCATCTATAACTAACTGATTAACAGAACAGAGTTGGAAGGGACCTTGAAGGTCTTCTAGTCCAACCTCCTGTTCAAGTAGGAAACTCTATACCATTTCAGACAAATGATTGTCCAATCTCTTCTTAAAAACATCCCGTGTTGGAACACCCACAACCTCTGGAGGCAGGCCGTTCCACTGATTAATTGCTCTCACTGTCAAGAAATTTCTCCTTAGTTCTAGGTTGCTTCTCTCCTTGATTAGTTTCCATCCATTGCTTCTTGTCCTGCCTTCAGGTGTTTTGGAGAATAAGTTGACCCCTTCTTTTTTGTAACCCCTCAAACATTGGAACAGTACTATCATGTCACCCCTAATCTTCTTTTCATTGAACTAGACATACCCAGTTCCTGCACCCATTCCTACAATTGGGCTAATAAGTTCTTAGTCACTTTATTATATAAACAAAAGCATAGAGAAAGTTTGAGTTGTTCACTATAACAAGAGTTGTATTCTTTCATTAATTATAATGGGGAAAATCTATATATTTTTTAACATAGGTTAAATTTATGCTGCGTCTATAAGATTCAGGGAGAAACACCTGGAATTTGGAATGCTGCAGCCTTCAAATGCTTGATTGCCTCTGTCCTTCCTGTGATTTGTCTACTTGTTTTCTGTGAGCTGCATCTGTATACTAAATCCTTTAACTGACATTTATTTGATACTAGGAGCACTGCAGCTTTCCAGTAATGCTTTTACCATATGCTCTGCTGTCTTTGGAATCCCAGGACTGAAAAATCCCCTGCTATGCTATTTTGTAATTCCCAACACTTGTTCTTTTTTATAACTCATTAATGCAATGAAAATAACTCTATACCTGCTCAGTATATGCTCACATTGTCGTAATAATTGCCTTGTGGTTTGGAGTAGAACAAACTCTCAGTCTGGATAGGATAATCCCATGGAGACAGGGCTGTAGGAGATGACCAGGTTGAATCTGAGGGAGGGGGTCAAATGCATCATCAGTCTCAAATTCCTTTGTGCCCACAAGAGATCGAAGTCCGGCCCACCTAAAATTCTGTTGACTCTTATCTACCACCAATTTGCTTTGACTGTTAGTAGTTCAGATTCTTGTAGAGCAGTGGTTCTCAACCTGTGGGTCGGGACCCCATTTGGGGTCGAACAACCATTTCACGGGGGTCGCCAAACAACACAGTCTGCCATTTTTTCCCCCTTTTCCTTAGCTGTGCTACTCCCTTTTATTCTATTGGCTTTTGAAAGCCAATAGAAGAGACTCTCTTGAATAGAGTCTAATTCTATTGGCTTTCAAAAGACAATAGGAATTGTCCAGGCTGTCTCTGCCCTGCTGAGCCCACCAAAAGTCCCATTCTGCAAACGGTGCTGCACCAGTTGAGTAGTCCTCGACTTACGACCGGTTGAGTAGTCCTCGACTTACGACTGGTTGGGGGTCGTGGCATTAAAAAGGTTGAGAACCACTGTTGTAGAGGCTGTTAGAATGTATAAACCTGTATTCATTTGAACTGCCTTGACTCCTGATTTTCCTGCACATAAGGACTTTGGCTAAGACAATTGCTTTGGCAAGATCTGTCCTATTTCTTTCATGGGGCTTTTCTACAATGAGGGCCAGACTTGAACTGTGTAACTTGGATGCAGCTGCTAAAGCCTAGCTGGATTGTATAACGTGAGACTTCACAAACATTGTAGCTTAAACTAAGGCATGCAGAGTGATTCTGAAGTTCTCATCATGTTCCATTTAGTGGTTCTGACGCTTTCTAGGTGGCTTTGAAAAACTGATGGGCCCTTTGAAGTGGCTTTCAGAGTTTTGTGATGGTTTTGTACTTGAAGATGCCAGCATGTACTTTAGCCAAAATGCAGTCTCATTGGTGAGAGATGTCTTTATTGTTCTTGTATTTATCACAGATAGTCCTCGACTTATGACCACAATTGACCCCAAACTTTCTGTTGCTTAGTGAGGCAGTTAAGTGAGTTTTGCCTCATTTTGCACACTTTCTT